GAGTCTCTCGATAATTCTACATCGATAAACAACGCGTTCGCAATGCCTCTACCTTCGTCATCGGCAATGATCATGGTTTTGATCCACAGTCCACCACGAGAAGCCAAAAAGTGATCTTGTTACCCAGGCTAACATCGACAACACTCACCCCGAACGTTGCATCGGCATCGGCACACACGGGATTCCATGTGCCCCATGCTACTCGGGTCAGAGCATAAGCTAGAGTTACTACCAAGCATGCAGGACGAACTACTCACTTTCCTTCGCGAAAATGTCAGTACCTTTGCGTGGTCGATGGCCAACATGAAAGGCATCAGCCCCAAGTTTACCGACCACGAACTACACGTTGACCCCACTTTCAAGCCGATCAAATAGAAACGACGAAAGCTGAAACCTGAACAAGCACATGATGTACACGATGAAGTGGACAAACTACCAAAGGCCGGATCGATTACTGAAGTGAAATACCCCGAGTGGCTAGCCAACCATGTGGTGGTCAAGAAGAAGAACGGCTAATGGCAAGTTTGCGTCGACTTCACCGACCTCTACAAGGCCTGCCCTAAGGATAGTTTCCCACTTCCTCGCATTGATCAGCTAGTCAAGGCAACCGCAGGCAACAAACTCCTCTCGTTTATGGATGGCTTTCCAGGATATAATCATATTTTCATGAATTCGGATGATAACGAGAAGACAGCCTTCATCACCGACCGGGGCACCTATTGCTACAAGGTTATGCCTTTCGATCTAGAGAACGCAGGAGCCACGTATCAGCGCCTGGTCAATAAAATGTTTGCCGCTCAGCTGGGCAAGACAATGGAGGTCTACATAAATGGCATGCTCGTCAAATCAGCTAAGTCAGCCAACCACATCAATCATCTCTGCGAGTGCTTTGTGATACTCAACAAATACGGCATGAAAAGTGCACCTTTGCAGTCACGTCGGTAGAATTCCTAGGCTACTTGGTCACACAGCGTGGAATTGAAGCCAACCCCAAACAGATCTCCGATCCTGGAGCTACCTTCACCAAGAAACACTCGCGAGGTCCAACGTCTTACCGGCAAGATAGCCGCACTGAACCGATTCATATCGCAATCTAACGATAAGTGCCTGCCGTTTTATTAAATCCTTCGCAACAAACGATTCGAGTAGGATGAGAAGTGTGTAGAAGCATTCCTACAACTCAAAACATACCTATCAACACCTCCGATCCTGGCCAAACCTGAGCATGGCGATACTCTGCTCCTCTGCATCACAATTTCCAGTCTGGCCATCAGTGGCGTCTTAGTTTGAGATGAAAGTGGTGAGCAGAAGCCGATCTTCTACTTCAGAAAAACGTTGGATAGGGCTGAATCTCGCTATCCAGCGTTGGAAAAGCTCGCTTTTGCAGTCGTTGTCGCCTCCAGAAAATTATGTACTTACTTTCAGTCACATTCGATAGCCGTTCTAACGAGCCAACCTCTTCAAACAATTCTACAAATCCCGACGCAATCCGGACGCATGGCCAAATGGGCGATCAAACTGTCTGAGTTCGATAACGAATACCGGATGCGAACCACCGCGAAGTCGCAAGTCCTGGCGGATTTTCTCATCGAAGTGGTTCAGATCACTTGCAGGAGGTGGAGATCCACTGTGAAAGTGGAAATACTCAAGCAACCTTTCAACAATGACAAAATACTACTCCGGTCGCACCCCTGCTTCACTCAGGCTTGATCCCTCTCCTCCAGAGGTTAAAAAAAAGAAGAACCAGAGGAAGCCTCCAATAGCTTCGTCGTCAAGAGCTGCAGGAAAACGTAAAATCAAACCAACGTTAAAGAAACAGGGATCTAGCAACTCTCCCAAAGTCACAAAGGAAAAGAAAAGAGTCACTACCAGAGGGGCAAATCGGCCAAGGAAGCGTTCTCGATCAGGGACGTCTCAGCGCGAGCAATAGTTAAATCTCACGGACTCCAGGGAGAACTCAATCACCAATGCACTTCCCAAGAAACAAAGTTTGCAGGATATCACGGTTAATAACCAAGCATCAGCAGATAGAGGGGATTTTCGGTCCCCTTGAGCTCTGCTTTCTTAGTCATTGTGAGCTGTAACTGCCAAGGATTGGGGAACCCCTTAACAGTTCATAGAATTCGGGAAATTCACAATAACCAAAACCCAGACATTATGTTCCTCATGGAGACCAAGAAGCAAGATACCTTCATTCTGAATAAAAACCAAGGAATGGGTTTCCTAAACTACTTCTTTTTGTAGAGGGTTAGCTCTTCTCTGGAAGGCTGAAGTTAATCTGGAAGTGCTAGCATCTTCACTAAACTTCATAGACACAAACTTAGCATCGGAACCCTCCTCTCTGCATGTCACCTTTATCATGGTACTCCTCAAAAAGAGCTTTATTGCGCATACTGGAACCACATCTCTCTCATTGGACTCAACCGAGATGAGGCTTGGCTTCTAACGGGAGATTTTAACTAGATTTTGGAGAACTCAGAAAAGAGAGGGGATCCCACGAGGTGTGATGGTTCCTTTTTGAACTTTCACAGTTTCATCTCTCAAAATGGCTTATGGGACCTAAAACAGGAATCCACTCTCATGGTGTGGCACAAGGCACATCCACTTCATTCGCTCAAGGCTGGAAAGGACAATGGCAAATGTGGCTTGGACAGAAATGTTCCCAGCGGGAACTAGTGAATACCTCCATTTTGAGGGATCTGATCACCGGCCTTTAATCACTTTCCTGGACAAGAAAAGACAAAAAATGAGTCTTCAGAAACGATAGAACTCTTAAAGATAAAGAGGGTTTCAGGTAACTTATCTCGGCAGCTTGGAAGACTGTTGAACCGGAAGATGTAGTTACCAAAACTAACATTTGTCGTCGAGAAATCATCCCATAGACAAAGGAACAAAATGCTAATGCAGCAAAACAAATTAAAAGTTTTCAAGATGGCCTAGAAGCAGCTCTCTCATTAGATATTCCCAACACAGAGATAATCACGACACTATCTGCCTCGCTGGAAGAAGTCTACAAGGAGGAAGTACTGTTCTGGAAACAAAGAAGCAGAGTCATGTGGTTAAGAGGGGGTGATCATAACACGGGCTATTTTCACGCAGTACAAGAGGAAGAATATCAAAAAACCGCCTTACAGTGATTGAAGATGGATAAGGAGTGGTCCATAAGGAGGAAGGCAACATTACTAAAGTATTAGAGGAATACTTTCAACTGCTCTTCACGGCTTCAGATCAAACCTCTTGGTGGTTGCAGAAGTGGTTTATCCCTGTATCACATAAGAGATGAATGAATTACTTTGTATTATCCCTTCCTCAGAGGAGATAAAGGAAGCAGTTTTCGACATAAATGGCGACAAGGCCTCGGGTCCATACAGTTTCTCAGCAAGTTTTTACCATGGTTTTTGGGACACTGTAGGAGCGGACATAAGCAAAGAAATAAGGAACTTCTTTGAGACTGAAGCCTTACTTGTTCGAGCAAACGACACTCATCTCTGCCTGCTCCCTAAAATCTCCGCACCAAAGAAGGCCTCTGATTACAGGCCTATTGCACTATGTAATGTATATTACAAAATAGTAGCAAAGATACTTATGAAGAGGGTACAGCCAATCTCGAGGCATCATCTCCGAACACCAATCAGCGTTTGTCAAAGGTAAAGTTATCTCTGATAATGTGCTCATCACGCATGAAATTCTGCACTTCTTGAGAACTTTAGAGGCAAGAATTCACTGTTCCATGGCTATAAAAACTGATATGAGCAAAGCCTATGATAGGTTAGAATGGGGATTTCTAAAAAATATACTCGAGAAGATGGGGTTTCATCAAAAATAGATAAACTAGATTATGCAATGTGTCTCAACGGTTACCTATTCATGCTTGATAAACAGGAGTCCAATGGGACTAATAAACCGTCTTGGGGGCTCCGTCAAGGGTATCCCTTGTCATCGTTCCTCTTCATCATCTGTACTGAAGTCCTCTCGGGTCTATGCAAGAAAGCTCAAGCGACGGAAGACTTTCCAGGTGTAAGAGTGGCTTGTAACAGTCCTGTAGTGAATCATCAGCTATTCGCAGATGACAAAATGTTCTTCAGCAAATCGAATGAGATAAACTGCCAAGCTCTTCAGAAAATCCTAAGCCAAAACGAACAAGCATCAGGCCAAAGCATCAACCTAGCAAAATCTGCTATTACCTTCTCAGCAAAGACCCCATTGGAAACAAAACAGAGAATTAAGAGGTCATTAAACATTCAGAACGAAAGAGGTATAGGGAAATACCTGGGACTTCCAGATCACTTTGGTAGACACAAAAGGGACATCTTTACTGCACTTGTGGATAAGATCCAGCAAAAGGCTCATAGGACTTCTAACTTCTTGTCTACCTCCGGAAAACAAGTTCTTATCCAATCTGTTCTCTCGGAAATACCTACTCACTCGATGCTCTGTTTCAAACTCCCGCTATCACTATGCAAACGAATACAGTCAGTCCTTACCCGATTCTGTTGGGATAGAAAACCAGACCAAAGAAATATTTGTTGTGTAGCCTGGGAATAACTTACCCTACCAAAGAAACATGGAGGCTTGGGATTCAAGGACATTGAGACTTACAATGATGCTCTACTGGCAAAGATTAGCTGACGATTCATCCCTCAACTGGATTCCCTTCTTGGTAAGGTCTTACTAGACAAGTATTGTCATAATTCCTTCTTTATAGAGTGCTCGGCACCTTCATATCCATCTCATGGGTGGTGAGGTATTCTAGCAGGGTGTGAAATCATAAAGCTCGGGACTAGCTGGGATACGGGAACAGGTTCAGAGATTAGTGTGTGGTGACATATGTGGCTCTCCATGACTATTCCAAACACTCCTTATGGCCATCATACATGCTCTGCATCAAACCTCAAAGTCAAGGATCTGCTATGTCAAACAGCAAACGAATGAGATTTGGAAGCGATCATAAAACACTTACCTCAGTATGAGGGTCAAATTTGACAAATCATCACTGGAAGATCAAAACCTGTAGACAGACTTGTCCGGCTACCAGAAAAATCAGGCGAATACACAGTGAAATCAGAGTACAATCTCTTGAGGATGACACCGAAAACCCAGACAGTTGAAACTTTCAACTGGAAAGCTAACATTTGGCAGCTGTGCATCTCTCCCAAAATAAAATATTTCCTTTGGAAAGCCATGAGAGGAGTCCTTCCAGTCAGAGCGGCTTTGGCCACAAGAGGCCTCGCGGATTCTCTACTATGCAAGTGATGCAATGCCCCTGAATCGACAGTTCCTACGCTCTGGACCTGCCCCTTTGCACGAAGTGTTTTGGCAATTGCGCCAATCTCAAACCCCCCAGATGATGACCTACCAACCCCCTCCGTGAAACAAATCCTCCAACAATCCAAGCGATCGACAATGCTTTCACCTATGGAATTGACTTCGACACTGCTATATCCATGGTTGTTCTGGAGCATTTGGCTCGCCAGGAATCAACTGGTCTTCGAGGGTCTCTCGACATCACCGGAAAATACCGTATCAAAAGCTATCAAGCAGACTAAAGAATGACAACAGGCCCAACAAGAACATCAGGTGGGCAACGTTAAAAAGCCCAACCACTTTCACCCTCAAGCCTAGGAACGTTTGAGTGTTTCACAGACGAAGCTTGGCAGGCCCTCTCTCTAACTGCCGGAATGGGTTGGCTTCTGCAGGACGATGAAGGATTCACGATTAGACAAGGTTCTTCATCGAGACAATTCCTCTCATCCGCTATAGCAGCAGAAGCTCTTGCCGTCAGAAAGGTCCTCACGTCATTTATATCTTCTGGATTCCAGCGAATTCAAGTGAAATCGGACTCCTAAGTCTTTATCTCTTTGATCAAGTCTAGAGAATTTCTGCGTAAAATCGCAGGAATGTTTTTTATATATTAAAGAGTCTCTATCTATGTTTTCATATATTTCATTTAAAGTAATTGCCATAAAAGAAAATTTCTTCCTGAACTCTGATATGATCATGGACCATAACGAATACATAGAGCTGGTAGCCGAAGTGAAACAACTCAATGCCGAGGTAAAGGAGCACGGCAACGAAACATGAAGCCGTGGTGAAACAAGAAGAAGATATGGGTATTCTACAAGGACCGGTGACACGTTCGGAGGCTAAGGCATTACAAGAAAAGATATAATCTCTACTTAGTCGTTTGAAGAATAAGGAAGAAACCAAGACATCTTATCAAACCACATTGGTTTCGATTCAAGCCGAGGTTAACAAATGGGAATGAATTTTACTTATTATCTTTTTCCCTCTTCTTGCTTTTGTCCCAATGGATTTTGCAAGAGAGGCTTTTTAATGAGGTAAGTGACCTCATCGTTGGCCCATTTGTTGATCCGAAGAAAAGTCCAAGAAACAATCAACTCGTTTGGTTCTATCTTTCAAATTCAAATAAGACGCTCCTCTTCTTTATTACTCTTTGCTTTGTTTCAAGAAGTCTTTGGTGCTTGTACCAAGACTCTTCTCTTTATATGTTGCTTCTGAACTTGCATTTCAATCCATCTATCCTTTTTTCTCAAACTTGTTAAAGATAGATCCGGTAAATCAAACGCTTCCTCGCATCCTTTATGTGACCATTCAATCCACGGTGAATCTAAGGAATCTCCACAGCCTTAGTGTGACCATTCGCTCCATCATTCAACTCTATTCCAAACGTGTTAAGTCATCCACCCGTACAACCTCTTCTCGTTTAGTTAATCATCATCTTCATCCTCATCCTTCATCTGTTCACATGTTCATTATCATCATAACTTGGTTCTCACATGTTCTTCTGCATTCAACAATTCCTTTCATCAATAGTCCAACTTTCAAAAAAACGATTCGTAACGGAAATCATATAAGTGGTATAAGAGCCACTTTGAAAGTTTAGGTTTCGTTTGTTATCGATTTTCAATATTTGGCGATTCAAATTCTTGTGTTGCACGGATCTGTTGTTCTAAGGTGTTAGATCGATTGTTTAACTCATTGCATCTAATGTTTCTGTGATTTACTCATAAGATCCGATCATCAAAGGAATAGTTTACTGCGAGTTTTCGTTTGAACGTTTCAGGTACCATGGTGAGTCAAGAGGAAGAAGAAACTAGTAACAATGCCAACAACAAACTATTGATTGAAGCTATGATCGCTCGATTAGACAAACTCCTCGACGCTCGACTTGAAGCCTTTCGCCAAGAGCAGAAACTGAACCAAGCAGAGAAAGAGCCAAATCAGTCGCATACTAGAAGAAACAGCCGACGAGATCATGTTTCAACCAAACATTCTAGTGGCGATTCAACTGATTCTTACTATCATCACAAGAGCGGATCCTCTCTAGGTCATCAGCGAAGACATAGACAAGAGAGGCATGAAAGAGGACGTATACAAGACCCTCTTGGAGGCATTAATCTCAAAATTTCATCCTTTCATGGGAAAAATGATCCCGCTGCTTACTTAGAGTGGGAGAAGAAGGTTGAGCTTGTGTTTGACGCTATGTATTGTACCGAGATCAACAAAGTAAAGGTTGCTGCAACATAATTCTATGACTATGCCCTCAGCTGGTGGGATCAGAAAGTTACTACAAGAAGGAGAAACCGAGAGTACCCGATAGAAACTTGGAATGAGATAAGAGGTCTAATGAGAAAGAGGTTTGTACCGAGCCACTATCACCGAGAACTTCATCATCAACTCAGAAAGCTTTCACAAGGTAACCGTTCTGTTGAGGAATATTATCAAGAGATGGAGACTTTGATGGTTAGAGCCGATATAGTAGAAGATAGAGAAGCTACGATGGCACGCTTTCTTGGAGGAGTAAACCGTGAGATACAAGAGCGTTTAGAGACTCAACATTACGTGGAGCTAGAAGAAATTTTACACAAGGCCATCCTGTTCGAGCAACAAATCAAGAGAAAAGTTCCCTCTCGGCCAAGTCAAGGAGCTGGTGCAACTTATGATCAGGCTAATTACTCGAGAGAGGATAAGAGTAGCTATCCGAAAGAGAATAAACCATTCATGGCTCCAAAGGCTGAAGCAAAGCCCTCTACGGATCCCAAGGGAAAGACTATAGAAGGTTTGACAAGAACAAGGGACGTCAAGTGTTGCAAGTGTCACGGAAGAGGCCATTACGCCAATGAGTGTACCAACAAGCGTGTTATGATCCTCCTTGACAACGGCGAGTTTGAGTCCGAGGATGAGAATCAAGAAGACAAATGTGAAGAAGACATTATGTCGCCGGTCAGAGGTGATTTGTTAGTAGCCCGAAGAACGTTAAGTGTGCAAACGAAGGCCTTGGAGCAAGAGCAAAGGGAGAATCTCTTCAATACTCGATGTTATGTTCAAGGAAAGGTGTGTAGTCTTATCATTGATGGAGGAAGTTGCACTAATGTCACAAGTGATACTATGGTTAACAATCTTGGGTTAAAAACATCAAAACACCCACCAATGGAGGCCAGTCATATACTCCTCAGAAGGCCATGGCAATCAGACAGAAAAGTGACACATGATGGATTCTCTAACCTCCATTCCTTTGAGTATAAAGGAAAGAAGACTACGCTTATACCCATGACCCCGCAAGAAGTTTACCTCGACCAGAAAAAGAATTCAAAACAGCCGAAGCATTCAAACTTCTATGCTAATGCCAGTTAGGTTAAAAAGTCCCTCTTTTCCAATCAAGCTATGTTCTTATTTGTTTATAAAGAAGCACTAACTAGTATGACTAACATCACACCGGTGCTACCAAGTGGAATAAGTGATCTTTTGCGAGAATTTTGTGATGTTTTTTCAGAAGAAACTCCAAAGGATTTACCACCTATCCGAGGTATAGAGCATCAAATAGACTTCGTTTCTGGAGCTTCTTTGTCGAACCGCCCCGCTTACAGAACCAATCCGATGGAAACAAAGGAAATACAATAACAAGTCAATGATCTAATGGCTAAGGAGCATATTTGTGAAAGTATGAGTCCTTGCGCTGTTCCCGTTCTGTTGGTACCAAAGAAAGATGGAAGCTGGCGCATGTGTGTAGACTGCCTAGCTATCAACAATATCACTGTTAAGTATCGCCATCCCATTCCTAAGCTAGATGATATGTTAGATTAGTTACACGGTTCTAACATTTTCTCTAAGGTTGATCTAAAAAGCGGCTATCATCAGATTAGGATGAAAGAAGGGGATGAGTGGAAAACAGCCTTTAAAACAAAGCATGGGCTGTATGAGTGGCTTGTAATGCCATTTGGGTTAACTAATGCTCCTAGTACGTTTATGAGACTTATGAACCATGTTCTCAGGGCTTATATAGGAGAATTTGTGGTAGTATGCTTTGATGACATTCTTATATACTCTAAGAGCTTAGAAGAGCATGCTAAGCATATTAGGTTGTCCTAGAAGTGCTTAGGCAAGAAAAGCTTAATGCTGACTTTAAGAAGTGTACTTTTTGTACGAATAACGTTCTGTTCTTAGGTTTTGTTGTGAGTACAGAAGGTGTTAAAGTAGACGAGGAGAAGGTTAAGGCGATTAAAGAGTGGCCAAGTCCTAAAACTATTGGAGATGTCCAAAGTTTTCACGGTCTAGATGGGTTTTACCGACGCTTTATGAAAGATTTCAGCACTATAGCTGTGCCTTTAACCGAAGTGATCAAGAAGAGCATGGGGTTCAAATGGGAACAAGCTCAAGAAGAAGCATTTCAATGCCTTAATGAGAAGCTTATACATGCACCCGTATTAGCTTTACCAGATTTTGTTAAAACGTTTGAAATTGAATGTGATGCTTCTGGTGTGGGTATTGGAGCTGTGCTTATGCAAGACAAAAGACTAATCGCATACTTCAGTGAAAAGCTTGGTGGAGCCACTCTGAATTATCCCACGTACGACAAAGAATCGTATACTCTTGTTAGGGCATTACAGACTTGGCAACATTACTTGTGGCCAAAGGAGTTTGTTATATAGACGGATCATGAATCTCTCAAACATCTCAAAGGACAGCAAAAGCTTAATAAGAGACACGCGAGGTGGGTCGAGTTTATTGAAACCTTTCCATATGTAATCAAATATAAGAAAGGTAGGGATAATGTTGCAGCCGATGCTTTATCTCGGAGGTACGTTCTTCTCTCTACTCTTTCTGCTACACTTTTAGGGTTTGAACAAATCAAAGAGATATACGCTACTGATCCTGACTTTCAAGAAGTTTTTAAAGCTTGTGAGAAGTTCGCTTCTGGACATTATTATCAACAAGACGGATATCTCTTCTATGAGAACCGTTTGTGTATTCCTAACTTCTCTCTTTGAAAAAAATATTTGTCAGGGAAGCCCAAGGAGGAGGCCTGATGAAGCACTTCAGAATAGCTAAGACTCTGGAGGTCATAAAAGAGCATTTCCATTGGCCTCACATGAAAAGAGACGTTGAGCGTATTTGTGGCCGATGTGCTACATGTATACAAGCTAAGTCAAAAGCACAGCCGAATGGTTCGTATACTCCTCTTCCTATTCCTATGCATCCTTGGAATGATATTTCAAAAGATTTTGTTATGGGTTTGCCTAGGACTAGAACAGGTAAGGATTCTATCTTCGTTGTTGCCGATAGGTTTTCAAAAATGGTTCATTTTATTGCTTGCAATAAGACTGATGATGTATTACATGTAGCTAACTTATTCTTCAAAGAGGTTGTTCGTTTGCATGGCCTGCCTAAGTCTATAGTTTCTGATAGAGATACTAAGTTTCTTAGTTTCTTTTGGAAGACACTTTGGTCTAAGTTATGTACTAAACTTTTGTTCTCTACTACTTGTCATCCGCAAACTGATGGTCAGACCGAGGTAGTTAATAGAATTTTAGGAACTATGTTG